TGGTCCCCAAACCTCCACACTGTCACACATCCTCCCAACAGCTGTCAGAAACACTCTATAAATGTTCCCTCAGCGGTGGATCTCCATGAGGACCGGAGCTTTTCTCCCTGTCCTTTTAAAGCTGGGAGCCCCCTCAAAACCCCTTCTTTATCTCCTGAAAGCGCACTACAAAAGATCTCCATCCTGACAGTGCTTTTTATGGTAGTTTAAACATTAATTAATCATTGTCAAATAAACCATGATACCTTGATCTAATTAAAACTAATTAAACCATGGTTATGTCAAGTGGAAGCTATAACTCACAGCACACCACTGGAACTGTGCTAAAAACTGACAATCAATTTCTGTCCCTGCGCAGCTTCTTTTCTTGTCCAACATGGGAAGATTTGGCTCTGTCTGCATTATCAGTTATCTTTTTCATTGATCATGGAAAATAAATTATGGGTTAGATATGGTTAAAATTCTTTGCAGGTCAGAGACTGGATACAAACTCCGTCCTCCTTGCCTCAGTCAAATTTATCTTTAAAAAGATGTAAAGCTGAAACAGCAACAAGCAGATGCAAGTTAAGTGAAATCACTTAACCTACCAGCAAGGATGTTTCATTTGTTAAAGGACTAAATGATTTAACACCAAATGACTTGTTAAGAAGGGAGTTTAATCTTCTCGGAGAGCCAATTTCAAAGTAAATTTTACTTGATGCAGTTTTACAAACTGTGTCACATACTATCTTGCAGACTGTAGCACATGAGAAATCTGTTTTCATGGACAGAAATAGCTGATTCCTATCTTGGCTCCAGGGCCTATTTTACCATACTGTGCCACCCGTTCCTATTTTATATTCACAGCGGCTCCATTCTTATCTTAACTTAATTTTCTACATGAAATACTCTGGAGAAATCAGATTTTTAAATAAGTGAGTTACACAATTAAGTTGAGGCAAAAACATTTCCCTTTATCGTTCATATGTACACTTCGCTGTTATCAACCAAAATATCCCGGGAAATAACTGTCTGAATCTAGCGTGTGTATGAGACTCATATCTGTTTAAGCTCAGATATCAGAGTGCGTCCAGAAAAACCCAAAGAAAAATAAAGCCAATTTCTCTCAAAGCGAGAACGTTTATTTTCACATGTTGTTTAGACAGCCGTTTCCAGTGGTCATAATCTTACCCAACAGTTTTAAACGCCTTTTTAATGGAGAGCCCGGCCCCGTCAGCAGAGCAGTCAGCACTGCCTTTACGAGCATACATGTGCACTTCTGTTTTCTCCCTGACAGGAAACCCAGCATCCTGCCCCTGACGGACTTAGATTGCACTTCAGAGTGGCATCAAAAGAGAGTGGGAGACAGAGAGCAGCCCTGCCCTGCACCACGCCTCTGGGCTGGGGTGTGAAGAATTCCAGAGAAAACCTACAGCAGCGACGAATGCTGTGAATGAGCGGTTTGACTCGAGACAGACAGGGCAGGCTTGTTGGAGAGAAACTGAATAAACCATGACCTGTGCTCTATCAAACACCTAACGGGAAAACCACTGTTTTTCTTGTAAGAGTTTTAAAGATCTCGCTCTGTGGAGCAGGCCAAAAACACCATGTCCAAGCCCTACTATAAAGTTTGAGAAACAAACGGTGGTCTAGGACAGACAGAGCTGGTGGTTATTAGACCATATCACTTCAGACTAATAACAAATGCATCTTGTGTGGCCCTATTTGTGGTGAAATACGGTGCAGATGCTGCGATTCATGCAATGAGCCTAACCACTGATTGCCCTGCAAATTATTCAAAAGGTTTCATGCAATTCTCCCAAATGATCCATAACAAAGGAGTGTTGTGCTTCTGCACTGCCAGTAGCCATCGTGTTTTACAACAGTAGACCCAATTAAAACACACGCTCCTCAGTAAACTGTGTTGTTCATGCTGTTTCATTTATACTAACGGCTGTGTAAGTGTGCAAGCAAGACTTGAGGCTTACAATTGTAGCAGTGTTGCACAATCATATAAAGATGCCTTTTACATTCTTTGCCTACACAAAGCACTAGTAACGGTACAGCATGACACGTCCCCGTGGAGAAGCAACCAGCACAGGACTGCGACAGGGTGGCACTGCCGCTCTCTGTTTCTCTGATCGCGTTACACAGAGGACACTAATGGATGTAGAGAGGGAAGACCAAGACAGGGAACAGAGGCTGTTAAAGAGAGGCGTCAGATACAGAGGAGGGGTACAGCCACTTCAAAAGTCTGTGGCTGTTTTAATCTGTCTCTCTAGGTTAGTCCCTTGGCAGGCAAAGATGGGGGTTGGGGGGAAGTGAGTGGGCACAGAAGTGGGCGTCAGGGTGTGGGGGTCTGTGGGGCACAGGCTGTGGTTGGTGATCAGTTCCCACTACACACCGCCAGCACTTTGACAATTATCTCCTTGATGCAGCAGTCTCTTTTTCATTTCTATTGAAGAACCGTGCCGGAGCTCCGAAGCCTCCCAGGAATGCCAGAGAGAGAGTGCAAGGGGGACTCCAACGGGGATAATCCCAATTTCAAATGGAGCTTAGTGATATCCCCCTCCTCTCTTTCTTCCTCCACCCCCACCCTCGCCCTCCTCCTGTCTGGCACAGATAACTCATCCCTCTCTCTCTCTCTTTGCCCTGTGCATGCGCAGACAGCAACCCACCCACCCCTCTAAAGTAATAATTAGCATGTCATCCACTCGCGTGAGTGTGAGAGCTGAGGCCTTCAGTAGACGCTCACAGCGTGGCGAGTGATATATTTTTCTCGGGCTATGTTGAGGTCAGAGGATGCGAGGTTGGTGTTACAGGAAGAGGTGCTGACACACTGAGGTGTAGCCTTGAGTTGTGGACACTGAATTAGGTTATGTACACATGCAGCAGATCAAACAGAAGAAGACCTCAGTGGTATCACAAATGGAGAGCAAAGTGGAACTGAGGTGCGGACCAAACAACTGCAACAAGACTGACTGAAAAGCGAGTTCTGGTACAATCTGTTTGTGGTGTGAATGCGATGTGAAGCACAGGATTGTATCATAGTAGATATAAGACTTTTTTTTTTATTAATTCAGAGTCTAAACTTCTATTAAATTGTAATCCATCCAAATTCTTATTGTGGGAACTATTAATGAAGTCATCTCCTATCATATAAGATTATTTAGTAATCATAAAAACATGGATGCTACAAGTTCAAGTAGAGAAAATAGACATCTTTGTTGTGGCAGTTAAACTTAGTGAGTGCACACTATTCGACAGCTACTACCCCGTTTCTAGCAGCATGACTTGCTGATCAATGGCTTATCTCAATCATAACATTTACTCCTGTCCGTTCAGTTTTAATATGTCAATGTGAACACAAAATTACCTACAAATACAAAGCTACAATGCATTTTTTTCCTCTTTGTTCTAGACCAAGTGTACCTAACTACAGGTGTGAAAGTGACCTTAACTGATCAGTTTAGCCATGTTTATTCCCACTATCCAACATGCATTACTGTACTGAATACACCTCTAGCTGCTCACATGACTTTGACGGTCATGCTATGATATGTAGGGTTCATTGGCGGATGCACGCATTCCATTCATCTACAGTCTATCTACCCACTGTGGAAATCAATACCGAACCTCCTCGTTTCACATACACATGCATAACTGGAATGACAGTATTGGAGAAGTCACAGAGAGGTCAGCGAGGCGGGGAAGTGGGTGAAAGTGGGTAAATAGGGGTTAGATGTGAGTTTGTTTTTATGTTGCTGTTCAAGAAATCTGATGTAAACAAGTCCTGGAAGAGATAGCCATCACTGTCTACACTTATCTCCTTTTACTCTGAATTAGTCGCTGTCATAATCAACGTTTACATTCATGAACTGATGCAAAACTAATGCACATTAAACTAATTTTCCACAAGAACCACTAGCATGGTTGATTCCCTTCCCCATCCACCCATAACTTACAGTTTAACATGTGTCTGGTACACCTACTCTGTGTACAATAAGCCTGAATGACAGCAAGAATCTGCTGTGCTGAAGTGCCCTTGGGTAATACACTGAACCCTTGCGCAGCTCCACGGGCACTGTTCTGTATCTGACCCCGTGATCTGACCTCCATTCGACTGCGAGGAGAGGCAGGAAGAAAAAACAAGCATTCTTCCTTCAGGGATCAATAGAGAATCACGCAAAATAGTGTGAAAAATCTCATCGTGTATCAGCCCTTGTGTGCTGTTGCTTTAGGCCTGCTGCCATAAAGAGAATCAGAGGCGTCACTGGGGTGCAGCCAAACAGCTGGGCCTGTGGTTAGAGCCTCTGCTCGGAGGCTGCAATCAGCTGAGCTCCGCTTCATCACGTGTTCCAAATTTTCACTTTCTGACCTCCCTTACACATACCGCAGTCACACAGACAAATACACAAAGATACAAAAAGATATTCGCTTATGTATATGTATATGTATGTAGAGCTCCACCTTCTGAATTCTTTACCCTGCTTGCACAAGTTCGCTTAAATAAGAGGTGAAAGCACAATATCAGCAATTCCGAGTAAAGCTTAGCACAATGCAGTGTTGACAGATTAAGCCCCAGCTGCAGCTTTATAATGTTACACAACCTGGCCGTGCATCTGAATACCTGTTGTTTCTGCAAAATGGCTGAAATGAATCCAATTTACTTTAAACACAAATGTTTCTTCATATCACAGATTACTGAAAACGGAAAGATGGCATTGAATGCATGGATTTTTTTGTATGTAAGTATTCATTTTGACAATTTTAGACCATATTTGATTTTGGCACAGTTAGTATTGTTTGGTATTGTACCAAATGGCTGGGAAGTACTAGCTTGTGGAAGCAGTTGTGTTCTTTAAGATCAACTGATGAAGTGTTGAGACACTAAAGATTGACTTCGATGTGAAGGCTTGGCGGAGCTTGACAGTGTGTGTGGGTGTGTGTGAAGTGAGCATACTGTGGCTTTTTTGGCTTTGCGCAGATTATAGAGGACGAGCGGCTCCACTGTACTTTACCATTGTTCCTTCGCTCTTGCTCCGTGCGACTTCCCTCTGCAGGCGAGCCACGGCCAGCTTTTCCCTAAACAGAAGGAAGAGGGGAAAATAAAAGTGAGTTAACGTGTGATCATGGTTTAGTGAGTGACACAGGCAGTGAGGTTAGAGTCCCACTGACTGCAATGGGCTACTTTTACATTTCAGTAGCACCCATAATGTTTGAATTTTCAGAAACATCATTCTTGTCAAGGAGAAAAAGCCTTTGAATCAACTTCGAATCAACTAATCCTGTGACATTTAAACTGATCAAATTCCTCTAGAGTAAGCTCATCAACTGATATTTCACTTAAGGTCAGTAACAACTATGAGAAACCAACACTTCTTTCTTTCATCCTCGTCTGTCTTGTGAGGACAAACCTCACAAGCCTGTGGCCTGCCAGCAAATCAGAAGATAACACACAAACACACACACACACACACACACACTCTGAGGAGACGGGGTCATCCGCTAACCACGCAAAACAGAGAGCTTGCAGTTCTGTCCAGACAAAAATAGCTCAGAGGAAACAAAAAGCAGGGCATCCGTACATACACTCATAACAGACTCTCTCTCCCACTCTCACTCTCTCTGGCACACTCACAAACACACACACGTGAAGCAGGCTAAACAAAGAAATTGACTGTGCGCGTCCAATCCGTTTCCCACGTGAGGGCATTCCAGACTTTAATGGGATAAATCTTGGCACACTAGCACGGATAATAAAGAGCCCTATTTTATGGCCTCTCCTGAGGTATCACAACTGAAACACAGCTCCAGCAGATGAGACGTATGCGCTGTTTGTTGAAAGCTTGTCAGTCTGTGAGTGCTTTTACCCAAAGTGTCTGAAAGCACAGCAAATGTGTGGAGGAGGAACACACCTCCCCTGGCATTGTATGAACCTTCAAAATCTGCTGGTTCGGGACCAAAAATCATTCATTCTAATGTCAAATACTGGGTTAGCATTCATAAAGATGTAAATATGGTGCTCTAAATGTTGTATTACACAAGTTAACATGGTTGACACCTCCAATTATGATCCTACATGGCCAGGTGTGCTAATAAAATAATTCATTAAGCTATTTTATGTATTAATTAGCAAATATTTAAGGTAAGGTGAGACATACTTTGGTGTCCTATATAATATAGAAAAGTGTAAAAATCTATTTCAAAACACAGTTAAAAAAAGAAAAGAAAAAGGAGACATGCATGCTCCAGAATAAAATCTATTTTTTATAAGAGGAAATCTGAGGTGTAACTTTGAAGTTTTCATCAAACTATTGTTCTTGACTTTCTGTGTTCTCAAGAATACATCACACACACTCCCAGCCACCTAATATGGGACCATGGGACCTAATAAAGAAGTGTATACAGCAGACAGCCACAAGTAATCACAATCACCTGCACATTTCTTCAGTGGAGCAGACAACCAACCTCTTGCCAACCTCCCCAAACTCCCCAAAATAACTCCTGACTAACATCTCCTTGTCGCCTCTGACAAGACATCATTGTTTCTGAGAGGCTTACCTGTCGGGAAAACCCCCTGGTGATTAAGAGACAGCTGGGGGATGTTTGGTTGACGAATGGATCGGCCGTCTGGACTGAAAAGAGCGTGCTAAACTACGAGGCAACGCTGCTGCCGGTGGAAGACATTCCCACCGTTTCCTCTAATGGGACCAGACTGAATTAGGCAAAGCTGAGCCTGGCACACCGATTGTGAAACATGCGACGGTGACAAATCCAGAAGGAAGTCAAGCAAAGTGGCGAGGCCGTGAGACAACAAGGGGGTGTGTTTGGGTGTGTATAAGTGTGTGAGTGTTTGCATGAGCGTGTTTGGGCTCATATGAGAAGTTTGTGTGTTTGTGCATTCATAAATTTGGGTGTGGGGACATGAAGTCATTAAAGCAAACGTGTTATTATGTGTGTGTGTGTGTGTGTGTGTGTGTGTGTGTGTGTGTGTGTGTGACCTCTCATAATGTGAGTGTGAAAGTGTGTGACTGCATGCTGCACACCTGAGACTGATACACTCATGTTCCAGTTACACAATGTGCATCTTCCTATACAACATACCGTATGCTTTAAACCATTACGATACCTCCAGAAAAAACAGGGAAGAGGGGAAAAAGAAATGTCTCTGGGACTTCTCATCGCAGATATTGTTATGTTAAACAGGACTGGCCTGGCATTCCTCCAGTCTGTGTTATGGCTGAGCGTCAGCCCTGTAAGGGGTTAAGTTTCAGGCCACTTATGCACAGGCATGTTCCAGGAGCAACGGAGCATGAGCCAACTGCGCCCGGAGAAAATCATCGCCAAATATAGAGCAATTTGACATTCTGTGTTAAACATAATTATAGTAACTGGCACAAGCAGTAGTCAAAACAGTAATCAGGTGAAAAACGCTTGCCGCCAACATTTGGCGCGCGATTATGTGACATTTGTGTCACGTGACAGTCATCAGTAATCCGCTATATTATGTATTTGCTGTTTAGAGCGACATATTCTGCTCCGAGTTTGTCACTTGCATTTCAATCCCAATCGACTCAAGATGTTTTGCCAGTCGCTCACTTCGTAAACTTTTACCAGCTGTGCAAACTGGCCAATCAAAATAGTCAGACTGAGCAATGGTCAAAAGCCGAAGGCTGTTGTGTCAAGAAGTTTATCTCAAGTTTATCTCTCTTGTAGAAGACTGTGTTTGGATACGCAAAGAACCATGTTATAATGTTGTTTAGAAAAAAGTTTTCATGTTCCACCAAAAAGGTCAGAACACAGGAACCCAGTTTCCTGTCGTTGAATGCTTCATCTTAAAGGATAATTCTAGTTTATTACAACTCTGGGCTTATTTTTGTAGTTATGGCCATTGTTTCTAATGGTTATGAAAACACTACACTCATCAAAGTAATTAGAGAAATCTGGGAACACGACATCACTAGAACGAAGTCTTACTGGGCGAGAAACACGAGTGGTCAGACCATCAGCCAACAGCTTAGCTTAACAGTTTTTTCCACATTATATAAACTTTATTTGGAGGTAAAATCAGAAGTAAGCACCCCCTTAATGTCTGTAATAATCCTTCATTGCAAAGGAAAAGTGTGTACACAACTATGGCAAGTACAGTAGGGGTAAACCATTGGTCTTCATTTTCTCTTCCAAGAGAGTTTGCCTAAATCTGTTTACAACCTGTCCGATCATTTGACTGCTTGTGTTTTTTGCCATGTCGGACTTATTTTTTGCAATCATGTAGCATTTTTAGATCTTTTAGATTCACTTGTTAAGTAGAATGTTATCACGACTGATAAAAAATGATGTCCAGAACTACAAAGATTAGTAACTAACCAGAATCTAAAAGGATGCTGCTTACTTAAATGACAAAAAGGAAGTAATGCTTCCACAGTGGCTGGAAAATTATGCATACTCGCAATGTATCTTCTTGCTCTATACACTGTGCACACTGTATATATTTCACACTTGACTGTGACTAAAAGGGAGTTATTTCAGGCTTGAGGCCAAGCCTTTATCCTCTACATCCGAGCATGTGATGAAGGCACAAGCTGACAGTTGACCATGTATACATTGCTCCTCCTCTTTTTCTTCTTCTTGGAGCCCCAATATAAAGCTCGGGCTGAGTAAATTCCAGCAGCCAATCATGAGCAGTGTCGACGTGGACCTCCAGCAGTTCCCAGTGACCTGGAATCACCTGACAGCACCAGAGGCCTTACCGGTGGGGGGGAATCCCGCCAAGCTTCAGTGGAGCAGGCCAAACCAGCTGACAACCCCAACCTCGAATGCAACAATCCCCCCTTCTCTTGCGCGCACACATTCTTCAATGTCGTTGTTTCTATTTATCAAAATATAATGTGGCAAGAGGCAGACGGAAAAACCGTGGTCATAAAGACATCTGCAGCAAACATACACATTGCTCCTGTCAGGCAACTTCAGACATATTTGACACTTTGGAGATACAAGGTAAGGTTTGTTCTGAAGTGCTATACATACAGTAAGTTTGTACCCCTGCTTGCATACACACACACAAGTCTTCACATATTCTGAAGTTGACACCATCTGCTGTCCACCCACACACTTTGCACACCTCAAAAATAATTTCCCTTCTTTTCAGCTTGCTCTATATCCCTTCCTTTGAGCTAAGACAAGGCAGTACAGCACAGAGTGATCCTGACACCAGCCTGGTTGCGTTCACAGCAGATCAACCATGTTTCCTCTGCGCATTCTCCCCCCTGCACAGACACACAGACACTATGTAAACCCCTCTCACGTTTTTTTCCCCCAGCTCACGTTGAGACAACGCAGCGACTGTTTGCTTCAGAGCGCCGATGCGGTCGCGGCGGCATGCAAAGACACGATCTGTCAGGGCTGCGGGAGGATCAATCATGGCGAGAGCATTTGCCAACCTGAGCTGACATGTTGGACCCATGTGCTTTGAACTGCATTGTGGGAGGCAGGCGTTTTAGCTGTGTTTTCATCACTGTTATCAAGGCTCCTCCATACAGGTGGTTTAATCCATTGTACATTGTTTGCTGTTAATGAAAGAGAAAAAAAGTGCTGTCTGTTGCGTTTTGGTTTCCTATTTCCCTTGCAGTGCTGTACACCATCCTATTATCAACAGTGGTTAATCTCTCCTTTATATAGAAAGATGTTAACAGATTAAACACCACATAATACTGCAGCAGTCACTCATACTGACACATAAATGCACGCATCAGGATGTATAAAAGATGCATAAATATAAACCATCTTCCCAATATTGTCATCGAGGCTTACAGCGGGCTAAACATTTCAAACGTTCTGAACCACAAACGTACACAGAGTAGCCGGGAGGGATGCATAAATGTTTGGATGAGAGCAGAGCTGCCATGCATTTATGTATTAGCGTCTGCACTCCTGCTGGGTTAAGAGCCCTGATATGCACGCAATCCCAGTGGCACAGATAGGGCATCCTGTTTGGACTCTGACTTCATTTTGGCTCCATCTCCGGACCGGTCATTCCCATCCTTAATCCTCCTACGGCTTGTGTTATGTAACCTTCTGCACCG